CAAATGGCTCTGGTAAATTTTTGACAAGTCAGAAAAATATGTCTCTGGTGAAAAAAAAAGTATTTTTTACACTGGTTACTACATGACAAGAGCCATGCGCTGAGAAAGCAGATTCCATCATAAAAATCAACGACCGCTACACCTCACGAGGCATGTCGCTTCATTGTCTTCGCTGCTTCTTCAGCCACGAGGTCAAGCTGCTGGTCAAATCACGAGCAGGAGCCGTGTGGCATTTCTCGCTCCATCTCGTTGCCACGGAGACCAGCTTCGATGACGTCATAACGATGGAGGCTGCTGGACTCGCACGGACATCGACAGTCAGCTTCTGTTTGACCAGTCAGACGAGGTAGCGTATTTGTATCCATATATGATATCAGGAGTGTATAATAGGTATAATCCCTATTATACACTCATAGATATTATATATGGATACAAATGTGCTACCTCGTCTGACTGGTCAAACAGAAGCTGACTGTCGATGTCCGTGCGAGTCCAGCAGCCTCCATCGTTATGACGTCATCGAAGCTGGTCTCCGTGGCAACGAGATGGAGCGAGAAATGCCACACGGCTCCCGCTCGCGATTTTACCAGCAGCTTGACCTCGTGGCTGAAGAAGCAGCGAAGACAATGAAGCGACACGCCTCGTGAGGTGTAGCGGCCGTTGATTTTTATGATGGAATCTGCTTTCTCAGCGTATGGCTCTTGTCATGTAATGAACCAGTGTAAAAAATGCTTTTTTTTCACCAGAGCCATTTTTCTGACCTGTCAAAAATGTACCTGAGCCATTTTTTGAAGCTCCAGAGCCATTTTCATAGTTTCAAATTTGTGAAAACTACGTAATATGATGTACTCTTATTTTATTTGTGGGGATGGAGACATCAATATAAATTGTATGTATTATTAATTCCATGAGTGTGTCAAATTTTTTGTTAATACATGTACCTATAATTATATTTACATTACTACATAGCACTAAATTTGAACACGAATGCTTGGATAAGTGAGCTGTGGCGGTTACATTGATAGAAATGACGATAGAGTTAGAGTTTGGGTTAGGATTAGGGTCATGGTTAATGTTAGGGTTTAAGTTTGGATTAGTGTTATTGTTGGGATTATGGTTAGCACTGGGATTAGGACCAATTTTTGGATTAGGGTTAAAATCAGGATTAGGGTTACGGTTAGGCTTGGGGTTAGTATTAGAGTTATGGTTAGTCAAAATATTAGATAACCATAACCCCTAACTGATCTACCTGGCACAAAGGGAAGAACTTAATTGCAATCGATGTTCCAACGGTCAATTGTGAGTCTCGTTATTGTGAGGGTATCCATACCTGAAGATACGCGTGGGTGCAAACACGACACAGAGTGTTAGAACCACGCTAGTGCCCTCTTTATTCGTCGTCTCTGCCAGCAGCTTGACGGCTACCGCCTGCTGCAGGTCGTCACGCCCCCTGGTGGGCACGTCGAGCGAACATGTGAATCCTGAATCACCTGGCGAAAGCATGAGAGATTATAGTCGCGCAAAATGAAGGCACCACAGTCGCACGTTTACGTAGCACATTATACAAACGGAGAACGATCCGCGTACGGGACAATCACGTTAAAATAACCGATATATCTCAAAGCATGCTGTCTTACCTCATTTCACCTAACCAGATAATGGCAACCTTATTCAAGGGACTAATATAAGGGTGCAATAAAAGATGATATATATATAGGACGATAAGGGGATATATAAGGGCGATCAAGTTCATTCCTTATCTAAGTTTATCTACATTGACAACCATAGATTTTTATCGTTACGGTAAGTGATTACGGCACACAACGAATTGCTCGATAGCACGGCGCGACGTATTTCCCGCGTGCGCGCGACCGACCTGGCTCCACGCAGTCGAGCGTGACCTGTAGTGTCTGCTCGACGTGTGATTGGGCCTCGCACGTGACCCTGGATCGCGGGGTCGCGGGCATCGTCGCAGGAATGCTGCGGTGCGGCGTGCCTTCCACAGGGTAGATGAACCTCACCACATCGACACGCTCACTGCGGCAACGGAAATCACCACGGCGGCGTGCCTTCCACAGGGTAGATGAACCTCACCACATCGACACGCTCACTGCGGCAACAGAAATCACCACGCGATCGGTAAATCCTGAAGTAAGTTCGTCGGTTTCCACAATAATATTAGGAGTGTATACTATAGACGAATGTATAATAGTCTATGTTATACATTTCTGATAATATTCACACAAAATTATATTGAATAATGAAGTAGAAGCAGGTAGGACTGGGCAGGACAGTTGTAGATATGGTTTGCCACGCACCCATCTGTGTCATCCCATGGTTTTCCATCTAAGCGCGTGGCAATGACGGTACATGTGGATCGATGAAGCTTCATCGTTTGTGGTGTGAAGCTGATCGGTATGTGAAGCGTTGTGAAGGAGTCCACACGCAGATCGTGCCTTCTCTTCAACAGATTTCTAAACTGTGAAGCTTGTGAACTGCCCTCTACGCGATTAAAACAATAAAATAATTTTTTAAATTGAAAGGGTAAACATACTAAACCCTTTTACAATGATTTTGCAAAGAGATACACAGCGACGGCGGAACAACTCAACAATGACGACTAACTTATGAAGGTCACGGACACCACCACGAGTAAAAATGCATTTTCTACAAACTATACATTCAGCAACATACAGAGTCATCACTCCCACGTCTCTATCGCTATAATGCGTTATACCGTCCGCACACGGTGACGTCGACAGTTGCCATGACGGCAACATCTGCCGGATTACGGAACGGAATCATGACGGTTTCCGTGGTTCCGATCGCAGCTTCCAGTTTGACGATTGCTGGGGATCCCAGGTGGCAGTCCTGTTCCTGCCACAGTGTACACCATGCTTCCCAGCTAACGCAGCAAATAAAAAATATGTAAACTAACGCATACAAAACAATCACATCAGGGTTGTATCATTGTCAGTAAGACACATGTTGAAATAAGGACTTATAAGACCCTTTCTGGAGGCCAAAATAATACTTTTTTACGCGATTTCTGATAGATCAGATATTAAAGTACACTAATAATATTTATATACACAATTGCACAGAATTCAAACACAGAAAATGTTGAAAAATGGTCCTTTGGCAAAAATAAGGACTATTAAGTACTTTCTAAGATTTCACCAAAAATAAGTACTAATAAGGGCCCTTATTTTATTTTTGGCAAAATAAGTACTTATAAGACTTTGGAAGACCCGCTATGAACCCTGTCACATTATACGAGACTACAGTGTACAGATACTTTTTCGTATACATGTACATACGTATATATACATTTTTTTGTATCACACACCAGATGTATATATCACGTATGTATATTTCATCTTATATTCACTGCATCACATGATACATGCATTCTATGCATTGGTACGTGCAATCATGATTGCATTTCACAATACATGTAGGTCGACACGCATAGAATCGTGACGTACCGTTAACAAGTATCAAATCAACACAGAAGCAAAAAGAGTCGCTGTGTTATTAGTGGTTAGATGATGCTGATGACGCTCATGCATCACTGATGCAGACAACGAGGACCGGCGCGCTGGCGGCGCCCCTACCTCGGGGCAGGTCAGCGTGACCTCCCGGCCCTCGTGGCGCGACCCCCTACCTCGGGGCAGGTCAGCGTGACCTCAGCCTCATGCACGCCTCCCCCCAGCATCGTCGGCTTGAACACCAACGCCACGTCGATTGCGCTTCCCGCGGGCACCACCAGGGGCCCGGCATCGCACGAGAAGTTGTGGCGGTTGCTAGCGGCGACGGCAACGGTGAGGGTGCGGTCGGTCGGATTGCGCAGTGGTATGGACTGAGTACAGCATCTAAAAAACAATGGTACATCCATGTGACCTATCTCCTGCTGATCTTGATTCTGATAGTGATAATGTAATGATTTCACAAAACATTCTTAGAGATAACCTTGATTGTAATTGTCTATAGTAGCACCAGTTGTACTGCCACTACTACTACTAGTACTACTGCGTACTGGCTACTAGAACTATAGTGCCAGTACTACTGGTAGTGGTACAGTGTCGCTGTCGCATCTAAACGATTGAGATAGTTATAACGCACCTGAAATATAGAGAGCGGTAAAGGTATATATACTTTCTCTTCTATAGAAGGTATAAAAAAGGCTTCTTCTTTATATGCTCTTGATTTCGTATTTATTTGCCATAATTTTATTATTAAAACGGCCAGTTCTTGCAGCAAAATGCATAGATATACCTCCTTTGAGCTCGTCTATGTTGTAAAAATTCACTACACCTCATTTGTATTACTACATTCATAATATTTCTTCAGCAAATCTAAACGACAGTACTCCTCTTACGAAAGTAGCTCCACAGTGGCACAGTAGCACAATATGTAACTGTAGTTTCGCAACTTCTCTACATTAGTTAGGGTTTAGGGTCAGGGTTAGGCTTAGGTTCAGGTCCATCTCTACATAGGAACAGTATACTGGATCGCTGTATGTAGCTTCAGCCCAGTACACCATTCGTCATCGTGAAATAAATAAAAACTTCACACTGAAGCATCATAATAACAAGAGCCGCAGAGCGTCTGGGCTCAATCTGAGGTCTGTTGCTACGGTTATAAGACGTAAATTTAAGTTGTGCGTGTAGTGACACCTTTGTTAGGCGCAGATATGCAAGATACGCAGTTGCGTAACGACATCATTTCAGCAACGCTTCCTGGCATTCTGCTAATAAATCTTGTCAACCTCCGAAATAAGCGATAACAAGTGCCGTTAGCGAGTAAACTCCACGCTTGAGTTTCGATTTGTTGTGATACCATTAATGCGCCTGAATAAATACATATACATCCTCAAGTCATTTATTGCCGCATCAGGATAACAGTAACTGCGACACAGCATAGAAATGATGAAACTAAGCATAACATCAATGTATCCCAAAATAATTACGACAATAAAGGAGCACAATTAACGGAAAAGACACAAACATCCCCACGATAGATACGCGGCAGGACTGAGAAACGCTGGAGAAAAGGCCACTATCTATACGAGAATCCTGACGGCAGTGAGATAGGAGAGAAAAGCGCAAGAGTTTTAATAAAAATTAAAGAAGAGGATATAACATGCGTATAAACCAGGAAGCCTGTCTGTCCATGCTGATAGGTACAACTAAGTGTATTGATTATCTATAATAGTATGTACTACTCAGCCATAATGGACCTAAATATCAACACAGATATCAATCAAAGATCTGTCGAAAATAGCTCGAAACTATTTGGCCTGCAGTGCACCATTGAACTGCAACGCCGCAATACCCTGTTGTGTACAGTGCCAACAGCATGTACATTATATAACCTTCCTTAATTACCTTTAATTAATAATAATATAATTAATAATCATCTTGCAGCTTACCTTCCCAATTCACACAGCATCGCAGGTAAGGTAACAACATCTGCAGTGGTGCCCTCTATCTCCAGCTCATACCAGAACTCTCCGACCGATCTCGCATAGAACACGACACTTGAATAGAAAGAGAGAGAGAGAGAGAGAGAGAGAGAGAAATTAGTAAACCATGTATAATAAAAACAGTAAACAGAAATAGAAGAATACACTTGTGGGGCGTTATTCGTGGCACGCACACAAAAACACAACGCTCGGATGACGGTGACTTAAGAGTTTATTCAACTGACAAGCAAAATGTCACCAACGACCGTGTAACGCACATCACACAACGACGGTAGCTACGACCTGTGCAGGCGACCCTGCCAACACAGTACGTCTGTGGCAGGCGACCTAAATCCACATCTGCACACACACGAGAACCGCTTGTCCAGATTCACTCTGCCGACAGAGATGGCACCTCTTCTTTCCCGCGCAAATCCAAGAACAAAGGCTTTATCCTAAATCCCCCCATAACTTTCGTACACTAACACCAGGCGGCAGCACTATGCAGAGTAAGTCATGTACAAAACAACACTACAGACTCCGAATAAATGAGTGTACCAAAACACACGCTCACACACCCCCCAGTTTAAATCGTCGACATCCTAGTCGACTGACCACTCACACCAGCCATCCACGAGTTCTGGAGCACCTGACCCAGACTAGCAACCGCTTGTGCCAGGTCGCCAAACTGCATCGGCACCACAGCCGATCCAACTACGGCAGCCCCTTGGGTCTGCACCACAGACTTTGGGAGGTGATGGGGATTCCCATGGGTGCCCGCGTTTGGGCGAGGGGTACGCCTGACCGGCGTCGAGTCCTCCCTGTCATGCAAGCCCGCCTCTCTCCCGCCATTCACGTCACCATCGGAACGTTCATCTCCCCCAGGCCCCTCCTCAGGGTCTTCCACCCCCTGACCATCTTCCCTGGCGGTGTCCCCCGTGGCATAAGTGTCGTCCGAGTCACTGCCTGACTCAGACTCGTCAGTGACCCCCCCACCTCCATTTTCCTCAGGAGCTTCATGAGCCTCATGTTCCCCTTCCAACCCTTGGTCTTCCCTACCGGTGGTGTCCCCCGTGGCACTAGCGGGTCTCCGAGCCATTGCCTGACCCAGACTCGTCAGTGCCCCCGACACCCCTATCTTCCTCAGGAGCTTCGCCACCCTCCTGTCTCGCTTCCACACTTTTAGAGCAAGGTCTCCCTTTTCCCGTGGGTGCTCTGCTTCTGGCCCCTGTATATCCATTCGGACCCACCTAAACCGTGGGCGTGTTTCTCCCTCCGGTGAATCGACAGGCTCCTCATGCGACCATGCGTCACTGTCAGGCGCCACTGCTACAGCACCGGGGACCTCGACCGTGCTCTTACCATCTAACAGGCCAACACGATTTACCGCCTTGGTTGGCCCCACCCGGTCAGAGCCCAGCCTGCACGACGTACACATTCTGCTGTGGGTTTGGCCTCGCCACGACGACATATGGTGTTGGATCCCACATATCCTGAATCTTGTTCCGCCCCTGCCATCGGTTTCTCAGGAAGACTCTCCTCCCTACTGGCAGGTCAGTGTCCCGCGACTTCTTGTTCATCTGGTGTTGACGCTGCAGAGCCTCATGCCCCAGCCGCTGTTCCGCGGCCTCAAGAGCTTCACCAAGCCTCTGCCTGTGCCCAGCCACCCAGTCGTCAACACCGTCCGTGTCATCAGAGTTGTCCCCCTGATTGACTCCCAGGAGAGAATCAATGGGTAACGCGTGGATCTTGCCCAAACATAAGAAAGTACGGGGAATAACCCGTCGAGGAGTGTATCGTTGCGTTGTACGAATACACCAACTCCGGCAGGTGTTCCGGCCATTTGCTCTTCTTTTCCGGCATCAGCGTTCTCAGCCGGTCGTGCATCGTCCTGTTGAAGCGCTCGCACTGGCCATTCCCTTGAGGGTGGTATGGCGTAGTGCGGGACTTTTCGACACCGTAGACGGCACATAGCTCTCGGATCAAGGCACTCTCAAAGTTGCGCCCCTGATCACTGTGGATCCTCGTTGGGACCCCGTATCGCACAAACCAGTCCTTTACCAAGACCTTGGCCACGGTCCTTGCCTTCTGGTCCCTGGTGGGGACCGCCTGGACGAACTTGGTGAAGACGTCCGTCATCACCAGCACATTTTCTCGCCCATCGCTGGCCTTGTCTAGGATGGTGAAGTCGACCGACAACACTTCCATTGGCCTCTTCGCCAACAAACTTCCCATGATGGGTCGCACCTTCTGCGCTGGTGCTTTAGCCATCTGGCATCGTTCACAATCTCGACACCAGTAGTGGGTCTGGACTGCCATGCCCGGCCAGTAGCACCGTTTCCGCACCAGCGCAAGCGTGCGCTCGACACCCTGGTGTCCTGCCGCATCATGGAGTTGTTCCAGAACTTGCTTCTTCAAACATTCAGGCAGAAGGAGCTGCTTCAGTGGCTGCCCGTCCCCCTGGACACAACGGTACAGCACTCCCCCTCTCTCTTCTAGGCGTCTCCACTGCCCCAACAGCTTGCGCACCTCCTTGGATTCCCTCCCAACCTGCCTCCGGGATGGTCTCTGTCTCTGGTCCCACAGTGCCCCGAGTCTCCCCAGTGACGGGTCTTTCCTCTGGAGATTCCGTAGCTCTTCGGGCGTCAATGAAGGTAGCGTGCTTACTGCTGGACCTCGTGGTCCTATGCCTACCTCTGAGTCTCTCACCACATGCTGGTAATCACATGCCGTGCTTTTCAGTGCCACCGGGAGGGGTGACGCCCCGTTCCCCCGCGGCACTAATGCCACAAACACCTCCTCGCTGTGGACGGTCTTCCTGCTGAGAGCATCTGCGTTGGCATTGGATCGCCCCGAACGGTATTTCACTTCAAAATTGAACTGGGCCAGCTGGGCTGCCCACCTGGCCTCTGTAGCTCCTAACTTCATGCTGGTCTGGAGATAAGCCAGCGGGTTGTTGTCAGTATAAACGACGAACTTCGACCCCAACAGATACTCGCGGAACTTGTCGGTCACCGCCCACTTCAAGGCTAGTAGCTCCAGCTTCGTGCTGCTGTAATTCTGGTCATTCCGCTCCGCGGGCTTCAGTGACCTGCTTGCATAGCAGATCACCCTCTGCTTTCCCTGCTCTTCCTGGGACAACACAGCCCCGAGCCCTCTGAAGCTAGCATCGGTCTCCACCCTGAAGGGCAGACTGAAGTCCGGATAACCCAGGATTGGCGCAGTAGTGAGTAACTCCTTGATCTTGTCAA